ATTAACCACATAGCGGACGTGCAAATGAGAGCGCGCGCAGAAATGGAACAAAGGGATAAGGCGAACAAAGAACACGAGCAAATGGAACGATTCTTTGATCAAGCAATGATCAGACGAGAAACGGCGCGAGCCATATTTGAAACAGCTTGTCAAAGCGCTTCGCACACACTCAGCGCGGACAAAGTAGAGCCGTCTATGGCGAAGAAACTTCAGAAACAGATTGACGAAGCTTTCGCGGAATGCAAACTAGCGAATAGCGCGCTACTCGATTTATCTACGCGAGAATCTGCAGCCAATGAAATTAAATGGCTCCAAGCTACTCAAGCGATGTATAACGAGATGAACACTAAACTCAAAACACACCTCGTATGCGAACATGAACGCGAACTGCAGCCGCAGATCAAAGGAGAAAAGAGCAATCACCTACAACTAGAGAAAATCAAAATGCCCCGATTTGAAGGAGAGTTGAGAGAATATCCATCCTTCAAAAGAGACTTCCAGAAACAAGTCATGCCGCACCTTACGGAAGATACATTATCCTACACGTTGCGTTCCTGTCTCGGAAAAGAACCTTTAATTCACGTAAAGAGCGTCAACGATGACGTTTACAAGATGTGGAAGCGACTCGACGAAAAATACGGGGACCCAGCGAAAGTCGCGGACGTGATAATTAATGAGATAAGACGGGTAAGATCCATCCGTGAAGGCAAAAACAAGCGATTCATTGAGCTGGTAGGAATCATAGAAGACGGATATCGTGACCTTAAGAGACTTGGCTTGGAAGCAGAAATAACCACAACGAGCTCAGTAAGTATCATAGAGAGAAAACTCCCGCCAGACGTACGCAAAGAATGGGCTAAACTATTAAGTTCTGACGACAGCACTATGGACAAAACCAACAAGTTTCCGAGCCTGCTCAAAGTTTTACTTACGCAAAAACGCGCTATCGAGTACGACGATTCTGATCTTCGCGCGCAGGGCCCAGCCATAACGAAGGCAGTTGTCCATTACGCCACAGCGGATGAAAGACACGACAGTCGCAGCCAGAGAACTTACAGCAAGTGCGTCGTTCACGAAAACTCGAATCATCTTACCAAGGATTGTAGAGTATACCTCGATAAAACAGTAAGTGAAAGACTGTCCACATTGAAAGAAAAGGGTGTGTTTTTCCTGCCTCAGAACCGGTCATCGATCACGCAATTGCCGCTCTAAAAAGGATTGCGGCGTCAATAAATGTAAGAAGAAACATCATCCCACATTACATGAAGAAGATCAGACAGAGACTCCAAGCGCATCCGCAATATCCAGTGCATGCAGCCATGGGGGTAATGAGACCTGCATCCTCCAGTTGCAACAAATAAAAACTTCTAGAGGACATGCAAACGTCTTGTGGGACAACGCATCATCCATTAGCCTCATAACCCGCGACAAAGCACGGGAAGAAAGACTGCGCGGAACGCCACTTGAAATCTCTCTCGTGAAGGTGGGAGGGAAGGAAGAGAAGATAAGTTCCAGAAAATACAAATTGCCGCTCATTGACCTCAAGGGCGAAACGACGCTTGTGGAAGTTTGCGAAATAGACAAAATTACCACCGACATTCAAAGTGTTAACATGGATAAGGCACTTGACACTCTCAAGATACAAAGGGGTGACGTGACTCGGCCGAAAGGCGCCGTTGACGTCCTCATTGGGTATGATTACGCAGGCTTCCACCCGGTAAAAGAAAGAAATGTCGAACACCTAATGTTATTGAAGAATCGTTTTGGACAATGTATAGGCGGGACACACCCTTCCATTCGGGAGAAGAACCACAAATCAGCATTCGACACATGTGCAAACCACCTAAAAGCAGTCAAAATTGACGACTTCTACAATATCGAGAGATTAGGTGTTAGCTGCACGCCGCGCTGCGGAGGCTGCAAATGCGGAAAATGCGCTCCTGGAACCAGCGACTATACTCTGAAAGAAGAAAGGGAGCTCCATCTCATCGAGAAAGGCCTTGAATTTAACGAACAGGAAAAATGCTGGATCGCTGAATATCCCTGGATTCGCGACCCACACGACCTGCCAGATAACAAAAGAGCTGCCTTTGGAAGACTCTTAAGCACCGAGCGAAGATTATTGCGAAATCCCGAACATAGCAGAGTTTATCAAAATCAAGTTGAGGACATGGTAGAACGAGGAGTAGCTAGGAAACTAAGCAAGCAAGAGCTCGAAACTTATAAAGGCCCTATCCACTACATCTCCCACCACGATGTTCTAAAGCCTGATTCGAAATCGACTCCAGTGAGAATCGTCTTTAACAGCAGCGCGAACTATATGGGAAACGTCCTTAACGAGTACTGGGCAAAGGGTCCCGATCTGTTAAATAATCTTGTAGGAATCCTCGTGCGATTCAGAGAACACGAAATTGGATTCATCAGAGATGTGAAAAAGATGTATCACACCGTGAAGACCAAGATCATAGAGCAACACACGCATCGTTTTCTATGGCGCGAC